TTTGGAAAAGACGATTGATTGGGAAACAGCAGAAAATGTAGCCATCCCTTACTTTGTCAGGATCCTTAATTGATCCTTTCCCTCTAATAAACACACGGCAACCCGTAGTTGCTTCCACACGCTTCAACGAGTTACCTCTAGGACCCAGAAGCCTTCCAACAAAATTGAACTAATAACCAAAAAGCAGAAGAATGGTTATTCAACTAAATTTCATTGTCTAAAAGAAAAAAAAAATCCGGCGAAACTTACATTCGGATAGGTATCAATTGGAAGATCTAAACGCAATATACGCTTGACTGGGTATGGACTTGGACTAGCAGGGGCACCTTGCCATTCCATCGCCATTCCATGAGGACCACCTATTCTCTACAAGAAATAATTAGGTTCCATTTTATTAGAGTTCTGACTTCTGACATGAGTAACCAGAAATGAAACCCAAGTAACCAGAATTGAAACCCTTGTATGCTATCTAGATTAAAGGTTTGGAGGGTCTCTCTACAAGAAATAAAAGGTTCCATTTGGAGCTCCTGAGGGATCTATGAGGAACTACCTAAGGGTACATTTTTATTAAAGTTCTGAAATGACTAGCTGCAATTGATCCCGGTACATCATCCCAGTCTAGATTAAGGGTTTATATGGGTCTCTACAAGAAATAAAAAGGTTCCACGTGAAGCTCCAGAGGGATTTTCAATGAGGAATTACCTAGACACAGTCAAGACAACCATTGCTCACTACCAGGCATACAAAGAACGAAACTTCTAACTCTTGAACATGCAATGATCTATATAGGTTACAGATGGCACCACATATTCAAACAAGGAGATGGAGAGCTAAACTCATACCTTATATTCCTTGCAGTAGGAATATTAGGCTCCTCCAACAATAGAATACGTGAGCCATCCATACATATTTCATGTGCAAGTGGGTCTCAACCACAATCCTCTGTTAAGAAATTTTCTATGTTCTATTAAGATAATCGGGGAGGAAAAAGGACACTTCTTTAACAAACACACAGAAAGAATTTCAAAGGAACTTGAGCCTAGAAACACAGGTAAAGGAAAATGGCTACCTCTGGTGGAAGACCATTCCAACCGCCTAATCCAGCACCATGAACATTAGACATATGACTTGGTGAAGCCATTGGACTAGGGCTTCGATTCCGCAACCTATCAATATCCGTAAACCCTTGGTTGGACATCATTCCACTAACCCGAAAAATCTCTGCACAACAAAAAGAATGTCATGATACCGATAAAAGTCGAGTAAGTACCAACCGCAGTAGTAGACAGAAAAACATCTATTTTAGGATTTATGTAAAATTAATCAAAGAGAGATCATATCACAATTCAAACAGGGACTGTACATATGTAGCAATCAGTTTGATTTTCTCCAGAACATCTATCCAGTCATAGTTCTTCAATTAAATGATCTTTAAATTTAGTTTTACACCTGAATCTAGTTTACAAAGCTGGAAGCTTTATTGCCAAAGCTTCATAAGCTATTAAAGCAAAGTCAAAGAAAAATCCACTAACCTATCTTCATTGGTGAGTCTCAAGGCATAATCCTAAACTGAGAATTTACAAGAAATCGTAGATCTAACAAGGAAAAAAATGAATAAAAAAGTGAGACCTTGATTTAAGAGTCGGCTACATATGGGTAAGACTTGCATGAAAGGTCCAAGCTTTTGATGTTCTGCTAACAACTGAGATAAGTACTGACTGCAGAAGAAGATGAGCAAAAACAAAGAGTTAATTAGAGAGACATGT